ACACCTACTTGCTTGACGGGAAACAGGCTCTCCTCAGATGAAGTCCCCCAACAATCTGGGCTGCTCATCTTTAAGAACTTCCCATTTCCATTCTGCACTACAGGCCAGGGGCTTTTTTTGCGTCCTTTTACCTCTGGCCATTTTGGAAGTTAATGTAGTGCTGGTCATGGGAAGATCACTAACCTCAGATTATTGGTGGTCATGAGGAGAGTCTTCTTCCCTTGAAGGTAAGTCAGGCACCTCAAACAAATTTGATTCCAGCAAAGCTGGTTCTTGCTCCTCTCCATCTTTATTTGTGGCTTCTTCTTCAAACTCAGAAAGAGACTTCTTTAGAGGTGGAAGCGAAAAACAATTTGAATGCTTCATCTAAAGAACGATTTTTCTTTTTTCTAAGTGCTGAAATATCTTCCACCTAAGAAAATTAATATGCTGTTAATATTCAGTTGACATAATGAAAACATGATACATATACATTTGAATTATTGAGCTTTGACTTTAAGAATACATTTAACAAATGTACATTTTGTTTATATGTGTATGGACATAAGCAAAATCACAAAATATAATAAAAACTAATTCATGTGACGTACAAATAATGAATCTAATTTACATATTTATCATCAAAAGTAAGAAATACACCATGAAAATTTACTAATTAGGTAGTGTATAAAAAAACATACATCTTACTTTATATGATATCCAAGTATGTGTTGGGAGATACTTCAATTTATCTCTATTCTTGATATCCAGGAAACTAAAAATAAATGCAAAAAATTATTATTCTGTATAAGGAGCAGGCAGAACTAATACACACAAACAGTTTATACATAAAATTGCAAGTACTTGTGACATTACATTACTGAAAAATATCACTCCATGTATGATGGTGATATATGTGTATATAAACTAAAACAAAATAAAGTGAAACTAATTTCAATAAAATTATCTTGTTTAATTATTCATCCTTAGCAACATAACATCTTTGAATATATATAACTATTATGTATAAAGAAAGCCCATCTTACCTTAGATGAAATTTGAAGTGCTCCAATTTCAAAATTTTAGCGAAGACTGACGAATTGCTGTGTGTCGGTTCCCTTGGTAAATGAAGTTTTTATTCTTGTAAGAGTCTTTTAAATACGTGTTAAAACTCAGTGTACAAGTGACAACAATAAATCCCATATGTTGGTTGTGAAACAGACTAAACACATTCACCTCAATAATACACGGAAAGCTGCGACATTCTCACAGTTGGGTTGCTAATACACTGATGGGCTTAAATTTCAAATTCCATGATAAATCTTGCCTGTAATGAGAGGATGTGACCAGAATAATCTTTTAAGTGCTATGAAGTGATTTTCTTTGTAATTTATGGTGTCTGTATCAATTGGTAAGTCTTGTAACAGGATGTATCATGTAACTAGGGTCAGGCAGTGTCATTCAAACCACCTGTACTGCGAGTTATTACCACTCACTAGTAGTGGTAATTAGGTTTCTCTGTGTAGTGAAACAACATACAATGACATATGTTGAAATAAAATTGTTTGAAAGTTCAAAGGAATGATATTCAAGTACCAAAAAATATCTCTTACTATCATATCTACAGTAATGTTCAAATGCGCCCGTGCTGGGCTGAACGAGAGTGAACCCCAACAGGGGTGAGATAGTTTACAGAAAATGCACAAAGTTCATGTTGCTAACCATATGGTTTATTTGGCACAATAAACAAAAGTACGGCTGTAATGAAACATAAACTTGAAATAAAAATACATTTATGAAACAAAATTAAAATGCTTTTCTGTACATATATAAACATGAAATCCTAGTTAAAATAAACATGCTCATTTATTGTTTAGGTTTATTTACAAATATTATTTTCAGGTCTTGTATATTACTTGAAACCATAATGAGAGTAAGAGATTATTAAAAAAAATGAAAACTAGATAAAATTTGCATTTTATGGACAATACAAATTTTTTGGGATTTCAAAATAGTGTACTAAAACATAAAACGTAATAAGTTCAAATCTGGAACAAGTATAAACTACATGCATTTATGAAAGTTCTTATGAAGTTTCAAAAAATTTCATCCTCTAGTTTTATTGTTGGAATAAGATAGCAAGACTTGCATTGGCTACTTAGAAAGTTAGTAACTGGTGGTCATCGAGTTAACCCTATTGTCACAGGTATCCTTCACTGTGCATGACACAAGGTTTTAGTGTCTTACATTCAAAATTTTATTAAACTACTTTTTGTTTATGTTATACTAATTAAAATATAAAATCTTAGCTAATAATCCACATTCTAATAGTATAGAAGTTTTAAGTTCTTAATTCCACAAGGCAATATTTAAAAAAAATCCCGAATTTCCAATAGTGTGACACGCGTGAAATTTTCTCTAGGCATCTTGTCTCCTCTATTTAAAATCATTATTGCTCAGACAAATCCTTATTTTATTTTTTATTTTTTTTTTATAGTCTTCAATTTTGTTTAGTTACAGAGCTATTGAATAGAAAATCAAACCCCTCCTGCCACACCCTCACTTTCAGGATTTTTTAATAGCTCTCTCTTACGCATAATTATGTATTACCTATAACCAATAGAAAGCAAAGGTTTTCATCTATCAAATGGCATATTGTTTAGCATTATGTTCTGAATGGTTAAATGTTAATTTCACTCAGAGTACCAACATCGTTCCTGTGAGAAAGTTAACGACTAGCTTGGATGAATTTCTAACAACTCTTGTCGCATAGTTAGAAGGCCAGAAAAATTTTGAGAAATAAGGGAATTTGTCTACTTTTTTGCACATTATTAGTCTATATTGTTTGGTGCATTATTTAATTAAATGAAAATTAAGTGCATTATTATCATTAGTATATAATAATTAGGGTTAACTCTCTTCACAATCGAAAAACAAGAAAATAGAAGATTGGTTAAGTATTTTATTTCTTGTTTTTCATGTTTATTCTTTATGTATAATTATAATAAAATGTAAAAATTGGGATCCTTTTAGGTTAGTTAAGATTAGGTTAAGTAAAATAAATAATAATATTACAATAAAAATGCTTCACACACACGAGCAGCTCATAGTAGCTTGTGGGTAATGTATTTCGTTAGCGTAACATGAACTACAAGTTCCCCAAGTAATCCGCAACTTATACCGGAGTGGACAGTGGTTAGACATGGTTCAAAGGGCAATAAAACAATAAAATTTAATTATAAATATATGTATACTGTTACAAACAAAGAGTTACTTTAGATAACTGAATCTAGTTTCATGTTACATTTTGAAGTCATTCTACAAAGAAAAAAAGGATAATTTAGATTTATTTTGATTTTGGTGGTTATAAGGTCGGTTGAATTGATCGATTCTGTTTTGAGATAGGGTAGAGAAAATAACAGATAAACAATCATGTTTTACTGAAAAAAATCGTTTGTGATGCATTTAGGAGGTTTTAGGGATTACACAAGAAATTTGAGATTTTTGGAGATGAGGAAAAATATTTTTAATTTTACTTTTGCACACGGTCTATTCAAACCAAATACTCATATTCTTGAACAAGCCATTATTTTATTTTATTAAAAATACTTCACTAAAAAATATTATTTTTTTTTGTATGTGAAAGACATAATATTAACAGAAAGACTGCAAAATTTTGTGAAGATATACACTATATTGAAAGTTAGAAGTATTGAATCTATAAAGACTTTAAATGAGTACAAAGAGGTTCCATGGTTGATCAAATTGACCGACCTCGTGTTCAGAGAGTTAATTTAGAGTTTAATTCACATCATTCCTATCAAGTTTCTAAGGAATCAGTTTACAGGAAAACATTGTGATGAAAGCTGCTGACTGATTCAGTAGATAAGTGTCCAACATCTAAGTATGCACACTGTGGTTATTTTTGCTCTGAATATATAATAAATATTGTGTTTCACATTATACCATGTGTCCTGTCTGTTTATTTTCTTAGCTTAAAACTCAACCATTTACTAAACTCAGATTTACTTTGCAATTTTCCTGGTTGATCCTCCTATTACCTAATACTAATTAAGAAATCAAAGTCAACCAAGAATACCACAGTATGTGTGATTTTAAGGGATTCTGCAAGTTTCAATGATAATCTTAGTTTAAGTGAACTGTGAACTTTAATACAGTAGGAAAAACTAACAGGACTTAATGTAAGCTTATCAACTCATTTTAGTTGGAAGTAGTTTATTTATTCTTATCCACAGTTATCTATTTATTTCATTTTTATTTCTAAGTTTTATTCAGTAACTTTTAACTATTCATTTATATACTGTCAGGCTTTGCAATAATGAAAATAAATAATAAACTTGTCTTGGGATAGACACTGTTCACTCTTAAAGGGCTGCATAGTAATTTCTCAAATCTTTACTTCTGAACAAATATGAATAAAAAATAAATTTAAATAGTAAAAACCTATGTTAATACCTATTGCAACATCTATTTAAAGGACAAAATTTCAATATACTTACCAATTCAAATCAGATAACTGTACAAGTTCATGAACGATAAACTGTTGAGAGAAAGGGTGGTTGAAATTTTGCAGTATACATTCAAAATCATCATCAGCAATATCATCTTTGTGGTAGAATCTTTCCGACATACTAGAAACCACCTTTCGAATGTTTAACCCACATAAGTATCGTTCCATATATTCCTCCTTCCAAGTGTATACCTTACTTCTTGAGTAGTTACTCAAAAGAGCAGAATAACTACAATGAATAAAGAAGGAATTTAGCAGTAAGAAACAAAAACTTCATTCTTTTACAATTCAAAGAATGAATATAACACTAAAGGACAATAACACAAAAAAGATAGTATTACAAAAAAACTGGGTGAAACACGTTTCATTAAAACACTACAAATACACTTTGAATATTAGTGATTAATTTATATTTGTGAGTGAATATTTTATTATTTTTAAGTTTTGTTATAATAAGAGTTAAAAGCGGATGATCATAGAAGGTTTTATTAATAACTAATTGGTGTTGAGAATATAGAAAGTGGCCAGACGACTAGGTAATAGAGATATAAATAGTGTGAGATGAGTAGAAAGCAGCAGACAGACAGTATTAGACAGATAAAAGCAAAGAGAATATAGTTAAATAACGTAAAAGTGATAGGCCTAATGATTGACATATGCCTAACGTTCAATATGTTAGAGTGAAACTAACAGTGGAAAAGAAAATAAGAAAAAATAAGTTTATTTCATCAAAGCGAAATTCTAAAGTAATTGAACAGGCCTAAGTGTACTTTTGACAAGAAGAGGAGAACTATACACATACAGATATAACATTTACGATATGCTTATATTCTCTATAGCGTGAACACTATTGTACATACGTTTACTCATTTTCAAATAATATATATATATATATACACATATTTTGAATAAGTTATAGTGTGTGCTGTTTATTTGTCATTGAATTTATTGCTAACAAGTCACAAACACTTACTTGAGAAGAATCATAAGCCAAACATCTACATAGTATATATTTATACTATTAAGAAATATAAGTAAAAGCCATTTATTTCGACAATTGGCAAAATAAACAAAAAAACACAGAACCCATGTATATATAACATTCATTTTAATCTGACAATGGTCAACTGAAATGCATCACATTCTTGTTAATCCTCAAATACTAATCAGTTTAACAAATAATCCTTCAAACTGTCACTGTAAATCCACCCCAATGCAAGAAGAAATTAAGCCTAATCTTTATTTTTCAGGAAATCATTGATTCGTTAAGCTTGTTAAAAAAATAAAACAGTTTTAACTGGAGCCTATGTTGTCTTTTTTATCCTCTTTTCCTAAAAATTCAGTGCAAAGAAAGCATATCCAGGTGAAACCCCATGGAATTTTGCAAACTTAAGTCACCTCTTAACCATCCTTTTTCAAGACAAAGCAAATTAAAAGATCTTTAACTGGGTATATCTATATAAGCAGTAACCTCTTCAGAGAGTGTCAATAGGTTATTAAGACAAGATTTTCTGTTAGTGAAACCATACTGACTATCCAACAAAATTTAAAACTGTATTAAATGACTTTGCAAAGTATCTTTTCTGAGACTTTCGAAAACATTTTCCCACCAGTGACGTAGACTAATAGGTCTATAATTACTAGGACAATTTTTATCACCTTCCTTGAAATAACAAATAACATTAACCAACTTCCAAACTTCTGGTACCACTATTCATCACTATTTTAACACTATTCAAGGACTTAAAAAAGTGGCTCACATATCCAACCCTTAACCTCTTTCAAAACCCTTGGGATAAATATCATTGGCTTTATCATTCTTTAAACTTCCAAGTTTATTCTTAGCAAGCTCAGAATTAATGTGATCATCATGTTCAACCTTGTTTCCAACTAGTAACTGTTCAGGTTGAGGAATATTGCCTGACTCTCCATTAGTAAAAACAGAAGAAAAATGAAATTTAATACTCAGCCATCCCATAATCGTCAGATATTAGGCTTCTGATACCACCCCTCAAAGATCCTACCTCCCATCCTAACATTTTGCTTATCCTTAATGTATTTGAAGAAATTCTTACCACTTATATTTTTAACCAACTTTTTTCCCATACATAATTTTTTCCCAAATTTCGTGTTAGACCAACTGTCTTGATATTTTACTGTCTTTTGAATCTCCCATAATTGCAGTGAACTTAAGACTTTTTGTATTTATATTTTTTTATAATCTTATCCCTTGTGAGCCAACCTGTTTTGTTTACTTCCAGTCACCATTTATTTATTTCTAGTCTACAAGGCACATGCCTATCTTGAATATTTATAAATTGATTTTAAAATTTTCCACATCTGATCAGCATCTCCAACTGATTTAATTATTCAACTCACACCATCTAATTCATCCCATTTCTTAAAAATTTGCTCTTTTGATATTTGAAACCAAAATATCATTATCCCTTATCTCCATATGTAGCAAAACATCAAATCTAATTGAAAAATGATTACTTGCACCCAGATATTTACCAACCTCTTCTATTTTTCTATATTAGAAGTTAACAATATATCTAAAATAGCAGTGTTTCTAGTAGGTTCCCTAACCAATTGAAGAAGAAAACCATCCTGAACAGTTTCTTAAAAGCCGTCTCCCCATTATTTGATCCTAACATTTCTCAATCTATATGCCCAAAATTAAAATTTCCCATAATTATAGCCTCTTTGACAGTTGATTTCTTTATGTCCCCGTAGTTTCTCATCAATTTCAGCTTAATCTGGTGTTCTAACAGATTTCAACTAAAAGGCTTCAACTTTTATAGCCACTAAAAGAAACCCAAACAGATTCAATCTCACGGTTATTAGATTTGTTAGGTTATAAATCACATTTTATTTATAAAGCCACTTCTCTCACTTTTTAGCAATCTATCTCTATTAAACAACCTATTATCCTGCATTTCAATGAAATTATTTTTTTTATCATAAATGTCTACATTTAACCAGATTTCAATTACTCCAATTATAACAAAACTCGCTGTTCCAACCAGTGCTCTAAAGTTCCAATTTATTTATACTACTTCTATAATTAAAATAACAGTTTAGCCTATCATTAAAATCCCATTTGTACCTTGTTTCTACACTATACCCATATAGTCTAATCAGTTGAGTTAAGAGCCCTTGCAAACAAGACAGCCCAAACCTTATTTAAATGTAAACCATCTATTACAAAGAACTTCCTTTTCCCATTAAATAAATTCCACAGATCCTACCCCTAGTATTTAGAACTAGTAACATGCAGCTACTCACTGACTATCACTGAAAAAAGTACTGACAAGGGTTTTGCATCAGCTGCCAGCTCTCAAATTGTATGCTACATCCCAGGAGAAATCAAAAGGTCCACAACTGCATCAGTGAAAGACAATGGTTCATGATAAAAACAAAATTATATTTACTATTTGTAAACTAAGTCTCATGCCTTTTTTTATACAACTGAATATATTCTTGTAGAAAGAACAGTGTATTGCTACCAAAAGATTTCACTAAGTTTTACAAAGATGTAATTAATTTCTATGTAGCAGCTGCTTGGTATTTTCAGAAGACAACTCATAATCCAATTTTGAAAGAAGCATCTCAGATTACCAATATCTCAAAAATAGAAAACACTTTCAAATGCACATAAACCTTTATAGCAACATTCCCACCAGTGACAGCAGCTAAAACTTTGGACCAACTACACAAATAATTTACTGATTACTGCAGGACAGTGAAATACTAGGAATGCAAACTGAAGGCATGTCACAATTACTAGAAAATCTCTGGTTTGAAATTTCTCAAATGAAATCAGTTTTCACCAATTCTAACTATTTCTCCATCTTCCATATCCAAACACTACTACTAGTCACCAGTAAAATGTCAGTATTATCATTATTATTTAAGTTATGCTGTTATGTTAAACTTATATTACACTATTTCTTCATTACCCCTTCAAGCAGTCTCCAAGCATTATTAGTCTCAAACTGGGTTCCTCATCATCGAATTATTATTTAGTTAGAAGATGTCTCTGTCCAAAAACACTTGTAAAATGAGAAAAATACTACAGAATGGATCAGGTGGAGGATTTTCATTTTTCATGAGTCAGCTAAATCCAAAAGTTCCCAGGGCAATCAATAAGAAAAGGATTAAGATCTGGGATATACTTGCTATATTTTGACGATAGCAAATAATTTAATTAATAGGACACAAGTTTAAAATAGGAATAAACAGTCTAGGCTTCGGTTAAGAGGGTTTTATTTTTCCAGTAACAATAATAATTAGTTTCAGAATCACAATATAAGAGAGGAATCCACGATTTTTTGAAAAATATAAAGTGGATTTAAATTTTTTATTTTCTACAAGTGGGTGTGCAGAAACAGCCTTAACTTGAACTTCACTGTTAAAGCTTGAAGTTGAAGGAACAAATGGTCTCTTCACCTTGTTGATTGTACATAGTTATTTTTTCGTCAGCCACTAGAACTACAAATATAACCCTACGATTCGAATTGTACGACGCTATATGATTATGACAGGGGCATCATTTGTGACTGCAAGTGCAACTTACATAAATAGTTTAAAAATTAAATATCAGTAAGTAAAACTTCGAACGACGAAGTAAAGTAAAACAAATCCGATATTTGCGATAAAACCTCTTACACTGTTACTACTATTAGTACTATGCGAGCGATTTCTAACATTATCACTTAGTAATACTTCCAGTTTTTGGTAGTTAAACCGTAACGTTTAAAATAACTAATTAATAATTAATATGATAATATTTATTAATAAGTCTTACCTCTGAGTAAACTTACATCTCCAGACTTCATTGCTATTTCCAGCATTTCTGAACTTTGAACAAACGCAAGAGAACCTACAAATATCCTTAAATGAAACAAATGGCAAACACAAAACATGCTCTAACAATTCTTGGGGTAGCAAATCAATTTTTGGAGCAAAATCTTCCTTTGGATAATTATAGTTCATCTCTGAAATTTATCAAACTCAAACTGGCTACAGTGTAGGAAATCGAAATAACGAAATTTAATTACTTAACTTCTAAAATTGGATATAATAGCTTATCTTAAGATGATGACTTTTAACGAAAATACCCAATAGGCTGTTTGCCCTCTTTCCAACACAATAAACCGAATCTAAACTCGCTAAATCTCCCAGGAAAAATAAACCTGAAACAAGTAGCGCCGACTTTTTATTCTCCTTTATTTATGGCTTACCCTCACAATGGCGATTTGTGTGGCTTAATTGAATATAAAATATGTCAAGTGGGCGGGGTTCGCAATAGTGGGTGTGTTTTTTATTGAACAGGAGAAGGGATAGGGTGATTCTAAAATCGTAATAATATATAGGCTATTCATTCAGTCAATTACCAAAATCACCCCTACAACTACTGTGTGTTAAAATCAGCTGTTCCAATAAAGTCCAAATAAGCAATATCAGGATAAAACGACAATAACAAATAAAACTCAATTCGTGACTCAAAAAAAAAGGAAAATTCAAAAAACACAAAACAAGCCAAATTCCGCTGATAATTATCGGACTTGGTATTGTTGCGTCAGCGAGGTCACGTGACTAATATCACGCCATGTCTTTCTAGAAATATCCTATTCCTTCATGAATGCCCTAGCATTTACTAGACATGTGTTAGTCTTGTATATATAAGACGTTCACAAAGTGACGGGACAACAGTGTAATGAGTAATTGAATGCATGCGACAGAATATTGTTGGCCACATGAGACGTGAGTTATAGCGTTTGTTATAGAGCGACTGTTGAAATTAAATGTATCGTAAAGTTGTATTCAGAAAGAATAAACCAGTTTTATTTAAGAAAGGACTTGTGTCGCTAAAGTTTCGTCGTGTTACGTCTCTGTTCGTTAGTTAATTTTCCGTAGTATTCGTTCCGTACGTAACTTAGCGTACACAGTCGTGGGAGGCAAGGC